TTGAACTTGACTTTGATGCCTTTAGTGCTTCTGCTGTTTTTTGTTTCACCTCTTCCACATTAGCAAACATTTCCATTTGAGGACTTTTTTCATCCAGGGAAACAAAAAAAGTCACTTGGGCAAGATCAGGTGAATAGAGAGAATGGGGCATGGGGATCATGCTGTTTTCGGTCAAAAACTGCTGAACACTCAGCACGGTGTGGGCAGGTGCGCTTGCAAATCACCCATCATGAACTGGGCAAATGCATGGAAAGAGGCTTCCAGGAAAAAAAAAAATTCACTGAGGCAGAATGCAGCCTCTCACAACACCAGGTGGTGCACTGATACAGCTGGGTTCCTAGAATGCTCATCTAGTGGGGGAAGCCTCTCTTACAAGGGTTCGCCCTCCAGAAGATAATTTTGTGGGGTTTTTTTTGGGTCTTCCCTTGTTTAATCTTTTAACAAGGTCACATTTGTATAAAAGGTTTGCCCAGAAGGCATCCAGGCGTGTAATATGAAAACCAGAGAAATTTACTGACAAAGATACAAGATGCAAGAAACATCATACACAGGACAATGATACCTCAGTCCCCTTCAAAGTTAGGTACCTTAGGACTCAGTTCTCCAAATTGCCATCAGCTGCCGCTTCATAGTTTCCTGAATCTCATCAACAGTCTTATTCTCTTCCCTTACAAAGGTTATTTTAATTTGGGGAAAAGCCAGAAGTCACAGGGCACCAAATCTGGACTGTAGGGGGCTGAGTCACCTGGGTGATTTGATGTTTCTCAAAAGAACTCTGCAGAATTGATGCACGAGTGGGCGCCTTATCGTGATGAAGCTGCCAATCACCAGTTGCCCATAGCTGCAGCCTTCTGAATCATCAGAGTAGTTTCCACGGAAGAATGTTCAAGCTTAACGCAAAATCTGAAGCAGATCTGTTGCTCTACTCACTCAGTCATTTTGAATGCCACTGCCACACAGTACACATGCTCACTCAATGTGTCTACCATCCCCACTGACTAGTACAATGAAGTTGTCGTTGTTCACATATGTGCATTCCAGTCCACTCTCCTTGGCTGCCAGGTTACACTGATGCAGTGCAAACCATTCTCATTGTATTAATAATGGATGGAGTTTTTCCAGACAGACCTTTTATGTTTTGATAAGGTTTCAACTTTTGATTAAAGAAGGAATATAGAGATTTGGCTTGCCAGTCCAACCTTTCAGCAATATGGAAAACTAAAATCAGTTTTTGTCTGTTGTAAAAGTAGAGAAACATTCTTGATATAAATAGGGATTTTAGAAGTTCGAAAGGGGGACACAGCACTATTAGCTAAATGGATATAGGCATGCATTTGTATTTACAACACGTATAATCAGAAAATCTCAGTGCCCTTCATGGGAAGGCCATGAGAGAAAACTTTTCAGCAACTGAAAAGAACTGTAAGACAGACTTAAAGCAGACGTTACCACTTTCTAGCCATAGATCCTCTTGTGCATTTATAGAAAGCTTTCACCTAAGGGGCAAGTTGGCATATTCTTATCAGTGATAATTCAGGGTAATCTGAAATTTCAAGTACATTGTTATATTAAAATTAGACACTTGGAAGAAATAAATCTTTTTATAAAAAATTTATTTCTCTGTAAATACAAATTCCAACATCAACAAACAATAGTCCAGTGGAAAAATACTTAGCCATTAACATTGAAAACTTTTAAATTTAATAAATATAACTTTGGCATTCAAAATTCTAGCTGTAAACCCTATTAAAAAACAAAAACAGAAAAACCAACCCCTTTACAAAAAAAGAGGCAAGAATGACAGATCAAAAGGCATAAGCCAACCTGTGGCTTCACATTCTTTTTACAATGACTGTATTTCAGTTAAGTCATGACTACTGTATTTACACATGAGGTATCTGGGTGGTTCAAAAACTGAACCTAGTTTACAGCAACCACCAGCCACACTGACTGATAGATTATACACTCTGCTGTGCTTTTCATGTAACCACCGAGCACCTTACCACTTCTTGCCATCACAGCAATGTGATGCTAAATTTTAAGTTTATGTATTTAAATAACTATTTATACATATATATACACACAAATGACATTCCAAAGGAGTTTCCTGTTTACCATATGGGGAAAAGGGTAAGTTCCAAAGACATATATTTGATAATTCCTCTCGTGTTTATTAAAGTATCTACCTAGTAATGAAAACCTGCTCCTTGCTTAAAAAAAAAAATCCTTAATCAGTCTACTTACAGAAGTACAAGGTGCAATAATCATCGACATTCTTATAACTCACGTAAAACAGAAATGAATGCTTACTGCAGGCAAAAAGGCACGAAAGGTTCTCTCTGTATGCAGCTGCAAGAGTGCTGTTAATGACTTACTGATTTGAAACTATATTCTTAGTATACTCAAAACTTCTTTTAAATAAGAAAAAATCCAAAATCTTTCCCCTTTCATGATTAAATATTATTAAATGTATAATATTACCATACAGCAATATACCACTATGGCATTTTGGGGTGAAGTTTGAAATGATACTCTATATACCAAATAAGAAATAATTTTCCTTGTTTGGTAAACACTGAAAAGAATTGTTAAAAATGGAAATGAAATAAATTAACTTGGGCTCTGAGAGATATATCTACTGGCAGTTTCAAATGATATGGTCTAAGTGAGCTTGGTTATGAGAATTGCTTATTACTGTAATTACATACCTACGATGATAGAAATCTATGTAAAAGAATGAAAATAATCCAAACTAAAGGTACAGCTGAGCTGAACTATGCTATGTAAAAACATAGTCCAAGTTCTCAGCTGTTATGCTTCTAGTCAATGAACTACTACCAATATTGAAAATGTCTTCCCATTAAAATATTTCCTTTAAAAATATCCTCTAAGAGATTCCTATTAATAAGTCTTGAACTACGACATTAATTTCTAAACTCATTAATAAGTCAGAAATGTAAAATATCCATTTTAGCAACCAGCCCTTGAGATTATCTCTAACAAACTACTAATAGAATTCTAATTTGGTTTCATAAACTGTCATAACCAAAACAAATTTCACCAAAAGATAATATTATTAACATTAAATATTGAATCCTATTTCAAATATAATATAGGGCCGCACTTACTAAAAGAAAAATTCAGGCATGAATTCCTATTCAATACACTTAAGCTTTTTAACATGAGAGACCACTGAAAATTTACTAACAATGAACTAAAATCGTCCTTTCTTTCTGACATCAAATGAAAAGACAATCATTGTGCCTTTTGAGCTGCACAGGTAATTTGGGTTTTTTATTGAGACAATTGTTTCTTTATCCCTGTTTCAATGTGACTGAGGCAGAATAAGCTCAATTTGAAAACCCAGAAGACTAGTAATAAATGTTGATATTGTATGAGCTACATCCCTAGAAGGCCAGCATTTAAATTTACAAAAGTATAAGTTTTCCTATCTAAGGAAATTTTCTAATACATTTACTTTAAGATTAGGTTACTTTGTCCCCAGACCAATGTCACTGTAGTAACTTCCAAGAACACTCTGGTTCAAACTAATACAAATAGGTTGTCTTGGGAGGAGAAATTTTCTAAAAAATGAAAGTCAAAATTAAATACCGATGAATCAGAATACTACTAGTTTGATTCCCCCTCCAATGCCCTCTAAGGCTATCTTATTATCTATGTCCTTTCACAAATGTCAGACTCCAGGAGATTACATTTTGTAATTCAAGGTTATACAACTAAACTATCATATCTTAATTCCTTTTTTTAATGGAGTTGTATACATTTTGGAAAATGAAATACATCAGCAGTAGTTTGTTAATTTCCCACTAAGTTAAATTTTTTTTACCTTAAGATATATGAATTAAGTCAAATTCTGTAGAAGTTTTAGAAAACTTACTTAAAAAAATATTTTATCCCAACTAATGTATCTACAATAGATTAAAAAGAATGACCAAAAGTTTGTTTAAAACAATAATAATAAACATAAAATCCTCAAACATTTAAAACCTAGGAGACACTTAAGTAAGAACTTAATGACCCAAATAAATCAGTGATTATTTGCCCATTAGTACTATATTTTAGGATGCCTTTATTTCCAAAACTATGGAGATTGGGGGTGTGGGGAGGAAATTCTACTCAAAGAGAATGTAAAATGTATGCTGCATTTGTGACTTACCTCTTTTAGATGCTACTATCTATTTTACTGTAAAGGGTCATTCTTATAGATATTAATTTTTACAAGGCAGAGTTCTTTGCATCAGATTTTAGGTACAAATGTACTGCTCCCTGAATGTCTTGAACCCACCAATGTTAAAAAGCAAATGAACATTTTAGAAAGCCAAGCTCTTACCAGTGACTAAGTCCCTCCTTACTAGTGTTAGGGGCCTTGGGATGCAGAACCACTACAGTGCACTGATTTCTTAGTGCCCAGATCCTAAGAAGTAAGAAGAGCAGTGAGGACTCAGGCACTGAACAGAAGGCAAGTCTGATGTCCTCACAATGTACTATAATTGACTGCCATAGTATAACTATAATGTAACTTATTGAGAGCTGTACGTAAGCCTAATGCTGCACTGAATGTCTTCCTGGCCTTATATCACATGTTTTCACTGCTGAAAATATTTAAGAAGAATCTTTTCTAGGAGCAGCCTTTATACAAGTATATAAGCCTGGCCAAAAAACAGACATGTGATCTGCTCATATCCAAAACAATGTTATCCTGCTTGATTAACACCTTTTATTCCTTCTACCTCTTATTTAGTCTTGAATTAAATTAGAGCTGGTTGCATCAAGGATACAAACCAACTGGTAAGGGGCAATGACTGCCATAACAAAATATATTCAAAAGAATGTAATGAATGTTCTGAAGGCAAGAGAATATATATTCCTTCCACAATACCAACTAAAACAGGGAGACACTCTTTTGGAAATTTAAATGACTGCATGTCCACTTAAATATCAGTTGCATTTCATAGTGATATGTGTCACTACAACCTGTACAACCTGACCAAGTTTATATTCTATGAAAAAGCCTGTTTGCAATGTACTTTATCTAATAAAAGGAATTGAAATATCACCTGATTTAGGTTTTGTTTTATGCTAGTGATAATTCAGATAGAAAGAAGATAGGTTGGTTTTTTCTTAGTTTCAACTTTAAAACAGATACATAACTGTTAAAATGTAAACATTTGAGATTTGGATAAATAAGCCATTGTTCCAGAGTCACTTTAATATTTCTTTTACAATAATGAAAGGGGGCCTTAGAAGGCTTGCATTAATTATATATGGCTTTGCTTACACTAATAAGTAAAAAACTGTAAATAGTAAGGGACATGTTAAAATTAGTTCAAATTATGTTAAATCGCCTTGTGATAAATTACTATGTTAGTGAAAAAGATCATCACATCAACATTTCACACCTCTAAGGCAATCCGCAATCACTCTGGAAAAATAGCTGACCTATCTACAGTACTAAAATCAACCCGGCCCCACAACCTCATCATCTTAGCCCAGTGGATGTTCAAAAGAATGGTTTTGCCTCCTGTACTACTATTAGAACACTTGCCTGCTGTTGGAACTCTTGTTCAGCCAGCTTTTGAAAACCCCAAAGTACAACACAAGCTTCTACATGAAAGAAAAAGAAATACAAGAATAAATAGTGTGTGCCTTTCTCAGAAGTTTTGCTTTGACCCTAGAAATCATTATACTTTTGTGAATAAACACACATGCACACACACAACACATATACACAAAGGATAAAAAGAAATCCTACCCCCTTGATCTGAAGGGCACTCTTCACAGCTTGGTCCTACAATCAGTAGTTTGAGAATACAGAATTTTTTTCTTATATACTTTATCACATTTTCTAATGGTAATCTGATTTTTTTGTCCTGATTAGATAAGCCCCTTTGAGACTGCCTTACATCCCCATTCCATCCCCCCTCAACAAAAAAATACACACACACACACACACACACACACACACACATCCTATGTGCAAGTTCATATGTCACTTGCAACTTTCCAACATAGCGCCTTCAGAGATCAGCCGAGATCGGATGTGTTCAGGTGGTGTGGCTGTAGACCAACATGGCTCCTAAAAAGAAATATGAAGAACTGTAACACAGCAGCATTTAACAATGGGTCATTATTGCTGTTGGACCAACACTTGATCACTGAGTAATGCAGTTGTCTCCCATGTCCTGAGCATAGCGATCTGATATTGTAGTCCTTAATTCATCAATGTCCCTCCGTAACTGGCATACATCTGACAGCTTTTTAGTGAGTGTTTCTGGGCCGTGGTCATTCTCAGCCTCTTCAGCCGAACAGTTCAGTGCTGTAGAAATAAAATATGGAGAGACTGCCTCACATTTTTTTGAACAAAGACATTTTAAGGTTTTCAACTTAATTATCCCTGGCAATGTTATTGTACACTGCGTACCAGTCAGGGTAAGATTTAAATTATGCATCACTCAATATTAAATAGATCTTAACCCACCTGGTCCTTTAAAAACTTCGTTAAAATGCATTAAACTCCTACAGTAATGCATACAAATTCAACATGTTTAATGGATGACAGTATTCCAAAAGTAGAAAAGATCATGCTCTAACAACTTTATTTGGGCTCAACTAGAGCACTCGGTTCTTCCCATTTGGCAAAATCTGAAAATCATTAATGTAGTGAGGAGTGATGCCTTAAATTTTTATAGACTGTGCAAAATGGGTTTTTCAGCATGAAAACAAATTAGCAAAATATATGGTAATTACATATATATACACACATATATAAATACACATATAAATATAAATTATATATAATAAATATATATTATATACATACATATATAAAAAAATAAAAAACTGGGACCCTACAATCCCAAACTGCTGAATCCGACTGACAGGCAGGAGCCCAACAGCTAAATAACTGAGGGCGAGGCGCCAGGTCAGACAGCTTTTATTTCCGTGCGCCAGTTCCTCCTTTGTCAACCTATCGCAACATAAAAGCAGGTGGAGCTGGCGAGTGGAAAATAAACCTTTCCTTATATTTTCATTGACCCTGGTAGCTTATTAGAGCGATAACTTACTTTAACAAACATTAATAAAAGAAGGGATATAGTGGCTTACTCTTAATAATTTACATGCACTTTCATAAACAAGTAAGCCCAGCCAGGTACTGTTGACGACCCACTCCTCCGCAGAGGCTCCAGAGGCAGAAGGAAAAGGACAACCAGGCCTCACTGCAGAGGGGACAGGTTCACTGGCTGGGCAAGGAAGCAGACTGAGCAAAGGCATAGAAGAAGAAAACCACATAATCTGACAGAATTGGAGAAACTTCAAGAAAATCAGTAACCAGTTCTAAAATGGCAGAGCACAAATTACGAGAGAGGAGAGTGTCAGGAAATACGGCTGAAGAGACAGGTGTGGGCTACCCATGTGTACCTGAGGGGAGTGTCAGTATTAGGAATCACAGTTTCAGCAGCTCCTCTGGCAGTGATGTGAGAGTGGACTGGGGTGGGTGTGGGGGAGTTGGTTAACAGACTAGTTGAGGGAAAGCTTAAATTAAGGCAACACTGCAATGAAGATGTAATGGTGGGAATAAATGCTAGCAGTGGGAAGAAACTGACAGAAATGATAGAGCCCATTCATCCTCACCTTGCGCAGGGGCCAGGGTTTGAGTATGAGACACACGATGGCGGAAAGAGGATAAAATCTAAGTTGGGGTGATAGGCGGATGGTAGCGCTGCTCACTGAGAGGAAGAGTAGGTTTACAGAGGGAAGAAAAGTGGTATTCATTTTGGACCTACTGAGTCTATATTGCTTATGAAACAGCTGGTTCTAATGTACAGATCAATATAATCAGGAGCCCAGAAGGGACATTCTAGGCAGAATAAGACATAAATGCCTGTATGGGTCAAAGGTATAGTGAGAGCAGAACACAACGACACAACATGGATAAGATTCCTCAGAGAAAATACACAAAAAGGGAACTAGAAAACCAACAACAAAAGGTCTCCGGGGGATACCAATATTTAAGTGGCAGACAATTCCACAGAAGGCTGAGGCTCAGCAGTCAGAAAGGCAGGAGCAGAGATTAGAGAATGATGTCATGAAAACTATGGCAGGAGAGAGTTTAAGAAGGATAGGGGAACAGCATCAACAAATAAATAAACCATGGAGTGATGAGATGAGGGTTCAAAAGAATTCTGGGGTTAGATTTTGAAGACTGGAAGGAGTATTCCTTGGGAGGTGAATGTGGCAAGGCTCTTAAATCTCCCCTTTATTCTTACTAGGTAAGATATCTCTTACCCTATTACTGAAAATGTTAACAAATACTATAGAGGAGTGTGCAAATCTAGGTTACAGAATAATTGAAAGAGTGACCATCTCTGAAATGATGGAGAAAATGAGTTTTTGAGAGTGAACTCTTGCTTTTTGTCTCAAGGGATCATTGCTAAATAAACCATCTCATGTTCACTTGCAAACTTCTCCTTTAAGATTCAAGTCACCACCCACTGCTCCATGGAGCCTTTATAGCCCTTACCAGGCAGGTTTCATGGTTTTCCCTTTTGCTCCCACTGTCCCTGCCCACACCTCAATTGTATTTATCACAATGCCCTAAGGATTTGGTGAGTGCCCGAGCAAGGGCTGTGTTCAAACTCTCGCATCATCAGTACCCTAGTGCCTGGACTACAGAAGGCGTTAATGAGTATGTACTGAGTGAATGTACTTAAACGTTAAAGTGTTTTTTTACATACCCACACTCATATATATGAACATACATCTATGAAGGGTGAAATTCTGCTGACATCTCTGAACAGAGTTACATGTTTCATCTAACAAGTGACATGCTTTGATCAAGAATATTACATAGTTTGGTTTAACAACTATTATGATGCAAGATGGAGGAATCTTTCTGATAAGACTGAAAAAAAAAAAAAACTAGTCCCCTCTCTAGGTCCATATTTACTACATTTTAAGGTAATTACTCAATACAATATGTTGGTACATAAATCTTATGATCTTACTCCATTCACATCTCCTAACTGAAGTTCATTTCTTCTGTATTAAGGAGACCAGCAAGTCACTATTATAATTTAGAACCACATGCAGAGGTGCTCCTGTAATGGCAGCACAGAAGGGAAGTGACACTAGGATCTCCTGTGTCAGCTCTCTCAACTCTGTGTGGAGGAAGGTAGAACGGGGGCACCATGGGTGGGCGTCACACTGAAAGGCATAAAGCAGGCAGGTGTGCATGACAGTAACAACAGATCTGTAGGCCACGAAAACTGCCTCAGAACATATACTACATAGGAAAGCAAGTGAGTATTTTTTCTTTAATGTTTTACCCCATGAAAGCAGAGAGAATGATTCTTTTTAGAAGAACAATCAGGAAGTCACATCTATCATCACTCCAGTCACATATTAACAGGTTGGGCATAGCTCATCCACACAGGCAGAACTGTAGGCATTCTGCAAAGTCCCATTCCAAATCAGCTATGACCCTGCTCACTTCTATAGTATAATGAGGTAAGATCTAGCAATAAAGTAACAACAAGTATTCACAGATCCACAGACTGATTCAGAGATTTATAAATCTATGTAGGAAAGGAGATTAAAAACAAATAGGGGAAATGCAGTCAGAAGTTCCTAACTCATGAAGACAGGTTTCTAACTGTTAAGCAATACCATCAGGACAAGTCGTTAACCACTTACATCTGATTCCCAGTAATAATGAAAGATTAGGCTCCTTGCCCTGAGCACGCTGATTAAGAATACTACACAATGCCTTCAAGTCAAACAAACAATAGGACATTTCCTTGAAAAGTTGATCAATCACATTCAAATCAAACAGAGGTCGTTTGGGAAGAACCGTCTGCTGCCTGGATTGGTCTCCTTCCTGGCCCTGATCCAAAAGAAAGCACATCTCTTCTGTTTGTCTTTGGTTCTGCAATGAATAAGGAAAACAAAAATCTGGTGGTTAGAACACAGGAAAGGTACTCAAAAGCAACACAGGTTAACATTTCCCCCCAAGTCTATAAACAAAAGAGTGGAATATTATATGCACATTAACCAACTACATACACAGAGTGGTGAAAAAAAAGAGAAAGATTAATTTAAATTGTGGAAATGGTTCCTCTGTGCCAGCTGATCCTATGGAGGAAACAGAAATCTAAAGAGTCTTGGGCTCTAGGAGTCTCTCGTGCCCTCACATGATGAGCATCTTGGTTATATATGTATTTTTCTATAACAAGATTCATCCTAAGGACAAAAGAAACTCTGTATCTTATCCTGTAGGGTTATCATTATCCAAGTATTTTAGTTACTTTGAAACCATTTTTTGTATATTGAGAAAAAAGTACATATGTTATTATAGTAACAGGAGCCAAAATTTTCAGTGTAAGAGAAAAATACAACCACAAAATAAGAGAAGGGAAAAAGTACCTTGAGCAACTGTAAATTGTTAAACTGAACTGGAAGAATCAATATGAAGTCATGATTTACTTCCCTGAGAAAGTTACCCTCACCCCATACCCAAACTGTCCTCATCTACTTCTCATCTTGAAATCTAATGAAAGGTGAGTTTAATTAGCTTTCCAACTGGGACTGTATTTCAGAATAACCAAATAGCATGTGTTGATGAGGAAAAGATATGCATTTTTTTAAAACAGAGGAGAGCCAGCTCCAATGTAAGAGGAATGATGTAATTAGAAAAAATACCATTCTTTTAGTCATCTAATGATTCAGACAATAGTCATTGGTGAACACCAAAACTATCAAGGGAAAAGGTGCTGGCAAACTGCATATTCACAAGTTGGCTAAGTAGCACCCCACAGACAACCTGCTGTTTGTGGAGGCTCTAACACCACAATGGAAAAATCAGTCTGTCACCGCCTTAACCCAATGAGATGATTAGTGGTGTCCCTTATACTGGAATAACCAAACACACATAATTTGATGATCTGAACAACACCTACAGAGTATTCAGGCCAAAATATGTTTGACCTAAAAATAATGCTATCTTTAGCTCTAACTCTGGCTTGCAAGAAAATAGAGGGAGTGGAGAACAAGACAAATGGCACCATGAGGAAGGAAACAGACAGACCTAGAAGTCTGAGAATCTGCAAGTCTGCAAAGACAACAGGCCCAGTTTTGACAACAAGTCACTAACGTGGGAGATGAAAGAGACCTTAGGTTTATAAGACAAAATAAAATGCAACTCATGGTCTTTACTGAAGGCTGGTTTAGAGTCACTATAAAAAACATTTATAAAGAAGTGGAAAAATGTTAATGAAGACTGGATATTATTGAATATCAAGAAACATTATTCTTTTTGGGTGTGACAATGGTGGTATGGTTATAGAGGAAAATGTCCTCATTTTTGGAGATGCATTCTGAAATATTTAAGTGGCAAATATCATGATGCCAGTTAAAAAATGAAAATAAGTATTATCTGTATATATAACATGTCCTTAAATGCAAGCCAAGTATTTCATCTCATAATGAACTGCAGAAAGTGTAATCCGTCCCAATGACAGCGCCAACACTGCCCCTTCCGTAAGGGTCTTCCGGGGTAATTTGGCTTCTATCCCATTTGTGCTTTGTTCCACAGCACTGGAGTCTAACCTCTATCGAACATTTGACTTGTCTAAAGTCTGTGAAATTGTATTCTAAGACAACATAAATAAATAAATGTCTTTTTATTATAATTTTAGTAAGAAACCTAAGAGATTTAATTAACTGGTACATCAAAATGAAGTCTTCAATTTAAAAATGTTTTTTGAATATATACAAAATAAGCATTTGTTTTTAACTTAAATAGGTACTGAATCATCCTTTGAAAGTAATCTGAATTTCTTCTACTCACATCAAGCAATGTTTTTGTTAATCTCTGTAGGTTTCTTTCTTTCTTCTCCAGCTCTTCCTTCATCTTTTGTGTGGTCAGATTTTCTTCAGAAAGTTTCCCTTGCAGAGACTAGAATAAAGAGAATCGGAAAGCAAGGCATGTTAACATTGAAAGCAAAATGCAATCTGGCAGGGAACAAGGATACTGGCTCGGAATACTGTAGACACACTGTCCTCCCAGCCCCTTGGAAGATGAAGCGCTTGAGTTTAAATTTTACCTCTAGAGCAAATGACTACAAAAATACCATCTTTTCCAAAAGAGTTTTTAATCTGGGTAAAACAGGGTAAATCTAAAGTTGCTGTTTAATGCTATATTACAAACAGTTCTTATTTTATTATGTATGGGGAGTGTTTTGGCAAGTCTGTATCTTTTTTAACATTTTTCTCATAATTAATAAGATACTAAATAATAAGATCATAAGGCCATCTCTGTTTTTTTTTTAAAGATTTTATTTATTTATTTTCTAGAGAGAGGAGAAGGGAGGGAGAAAGAGAGGGACAGAAACATCAATGTGTGGTTGCCTCTCGTACTCCCTCAACTGGGGACATGTTTGATTCCCAGACATGGGCCCTGAATGGTAATCAAACTGGTGACCCTTTGGTTCTCAGGCTGGCACTTAATCCACTGACCATACCAGCCAGGGCACCATCCTTGTTTTCTATCATTTGAAACACAGTTAAACACCCATCTCAGTATACAGTACTCCAAGCAAATATAATGTTGAATCCAGGGCAAAGGCCTATTGTGGGGCTGACAATATAAATTACAAATTATCCAGACCAATACCATTGTAAGAAAATCATGAGTATACTAAAGCAGCATATAGTATATTTTAGAAGTACTTGGGTCATTTCAGTTTATAAGTCTGATTTTCAGCTACATACCAAAGAAAAACCTGCCATAATCCCTGTAGTTACCAATAATATCTAGGTGTTTCTATCAACATTTTATTTTTGTTAAACAAGATCAATAAATTTATGACCAGAGAAGAGATTTCTTTTTTTTCCCTTAGGACTGAATTTAGTTTCAACTCTGAAAATACGGACCATGAAAATAGCACACTATCCACTATGAAGGCTATTTTCTTCACATTATCTTTAGATGGAATAAGAGAAGTTGCTTGCCACCATGGGCTGAGGTAAGGCTCTGTAAATATGAAATGGTTTTCTCAACAACAGATCCTCTACCCTGTTGCTTTTTACTTTCCCTTGTCTGCTAAACTCTGAAAAAAATATTGCATTTAATAACTCAAAACCTAGATACAAATTAAGTAAGCTCTATAACAAGTTCATTTTTTTCTAGGAAAAACTTGTTTTATATTCTACAAAAAGGAATATCATAGCACAAAGTCACACAGGTCCTCTGAGTATGTATATTTTTGGAAACTAAAATTCCTTTGTAACTACATTTGAATGAATCAAAACCTATTTGATTGAATGCTACATGGGAATTTATTTACCTAGCTAAAGATCAATGCTTACTAGCATGACAAGATTATTTGGCTGGAATTCAGAACTCATCCTAAATTTGCTTAAGATTTGTGAATGTGTAGTTATTAGAAACATAGAAGAAAGGGACCACAGGTAAACTACTCTAAGTGTATTTTAACAATGAAAACTGAACCCAAGCTGCGCTACAATTCTTTAGAAGATAATAGCATTTTATATTAATATATTTTATATTTATATTTTTCAAAGTCATGTTGAACATGATTAGTTATTAACCAGCAAATCTTACTAATTCAGGTGTGGGGTATGCAAAACACAGGGTTTACTCTTATTTTATTATTTATTAATTATTGTATTATTTTCCCATGAACAACTGTAAACCTACGTTTGCCCCACCTTGTATGTTCCTATGTAAGACTAAATATAAATCAGTGGAGAAACAATCTTCTCTGTCAAAATAAATAAAAAATGGCAACAGTGCTATTTGTAATAAGGAGGAAAACTGAATTTGGGAACTATAGCAAGCTTAGTATGTTATATTGGTTGGGTTCAAGGGCACTTATCAAGCAGCCCTTCAATAGGGAAGGAGTTCACAGGTATCATTATGCTAAAAGGATCAAGTGCCGTATAATTTCCAGGACAATTCTAGGTATGAGGACTATAGGTATCTGACAGTAACATTCCACCTATAAGATTATTTCTCTATCCTAAACTGTATGATAAAGCATATAGTTAAAGTTCAAGAAAAAAAGGGGAAAAGAAAAATTTCTACTAAGCTTAGAATGGGATTACCAAAATTAAAAACAAATTTTCAAGTGTCTATAGTTTCTCTTTAAATTTCCAGTTTAGTGAAAATGTTTTTAAAAAATTCTAAGTCACTAACCAACTGATTGTTTATCACAATCATTCTTGAAGTTGAAAATGGTTTTAAACATATTTGTTGTTTTGATGTAAATATCCAGAAATGCTAACCCTCTTTTGCCCCATACACAAATAGCTCAAATAAAAAGAAGTCAGATGTGCCTTAGCCAACAGATTCTACATACTCCACAAACACAATTTAAAAGAAAATATTTTTTGGGGAAAAAAACTCATTAGTAGTTTTACTACACACACATGCATACACACACAATGCCATACAAGAGTTTCACAAGTACATTCCTTCATGCAATCATTCATTCAGCAAAAATTATAGCCAAGCACTATCTCTGCACTGGATGATACATCAGTGAACAAAACAGTCACAACTTTTGGCCCCTGTGGGACTTGCAAGGAGGAAAAAGACCAGAGACAATAACTATTGTAAATATGTAAGTTACAAAGAATTATACATTAGAATTTGACTAGTGTTTTGAGGAACAAATAGAGGGGGTTGAAAAATATCAAATGGGGTAGAGTAAGGGATCATGGAAAAGGTGACACTTAAGCAAAAGCTTGAAAGAGGGAAAGATATGTCCAGTAGAAGATATCCAGGGAGTGTGTCCCAGTCCGTGCAGAGGTTCTGAGGTAGACAGAGCCTTCTAAGTTTGAGAAAACGTAAGAGTGAAGCAAAAAATAAAAAAGATAAAGTCAGAGAAGGAAGGTGGTATGGGGAACATTATGTAAGGCCTTGTAGAAACTGATTTTTACTCTGGAGAAAATGAGGAACCAGTGAAGGGTTCTGTGAAGATATATAATGTGATCTAATTTTTGTTTTTAGGTCACTTGAGTTGATGAGAATAGACTTGCAGGCAAGCAATGGTGGAAGGAGAAAGAGATAATTCAGGTAAAGAATGAAGACAGCTTGGACCAGGGTGGCACCAGTACATGTTAGGGGAAGGGGCCAGATGTTAGATAAATTATGAAGGTAATAGGATTTGCTGACAAATATGAGGTAGGAGAAAAGTCAAAGATAAGTCTAAGATTTCTGGACTAAGCAAGTGGAAGGGCAGATCTGCCATTAATACAGATGGAAAATATGAAAGGTCCAGCAGGATTTCTTATTTTTCGGCTGGGAGGATATGAAATTCAGTTTGAGACATTTTATGTCTGACATGTTAAGTGGTAATGTCAAGTAGGCAACTGGATATAGAAGTTGTAGAGTCGGGGAGAATTCTGAGCTGAAGACAAAAATTAGAGAGTTGTGAGCACACACATTGTATTTAAAGGCATAAGACAGTGTAAGATCACAAAGAAAAGTATAGAATAGAGAATTGAAGGAAAGAAATAAAACCCCTTTTTAAAAAATATGATAAAATATTTTAAAGAGAAATTTACATGTCTTTAAAAGAAACCTTAACATAAATATCACAAATGAAATTAAACTTATCCCTAGGTTATAAATTGGAAAAAATTATTTCCATACACTAAGGTATTTTGTCCAATTTTTATATACTAGTCTATTAACTTGCCTATATCTTTATTATAATAGGACTTATGCTACAGGCCTTATGTTTATTGTCTAGTTAAATAAACAACAACAAAAAAACATAAAAAGCAGATTCTTCTGTGACTTTTTTGGTTGAAATTTGTAGATATTTCAATTATCTAGAAACAAAGCATATGTCAATCACTCAAAGACAGGGTACCAGAATTCATCTAATCAGAAAAGTGAAAAGAAAAAAAAACAATGAAAAAGAGTAAAGTTGGCTTAAGGGTTGGACAACATCAAGCAAACCAGTATTAGCATTACCGAGGTCCTAAATGGAGAAGAATGGGCCAGAAAACTTATTTGAAGAAATGGCTGAAAACTGCCCTAACCTGAGGAAGGAAACAGACATCTAGATCTAAGAGAGTTCCAAAAAAGATGAACCCATGAAAACTCACACCATGTCACATTATAATTAAATTGCTAAAGTTAAAGTCAGTAAGGGAATCTTAAAAGCAGCAAAACAACTTGTTACATACAAGGGAACTACCATGAGACTATCAGCAGATTTTTGAGCAGAAAGAAAAGAATTGCTACCCAAGAATACTCTACCCAGCAAAGTTGTCCTTCAGAACTAGATTTTTCCACACAAGCAAAAGCTGAAGGAATACACCACCACTAAACTGACCTTACAAGAAATATTTTAAAAATATAAGCTGAAATAAAAGGGCGCTCACTAGTAACAGGAAAACATATAAAAGTACAAGTCTCACCAGTAAATAAATAGTAAAATTCAGAATTATATAATGTCAAAGTGGTAGAAAGCTAGTAAGAGAAGGCTAAAGACAAGAGTAATAGAAATAACTACAATATTTCATTAATGGATACACAAGATAAAATAATAAACTGTGGCATCAAAAATATAAAGAGTGGGAGCACTGCATTAAATTAAAAAGCTTCTGCACAGCAAAGGAAACCAAAATGAAAAGGCAACCTAAGAAATGGGAGAAAATATTTGCAAATCATGTATCTGATAAAAGGGTAATACCCAAAATATAAAGAAATCATACAACTTGATAGCAAAAATACATAAACAATATGATTAAAAAACGGACAGAGGTTCTGAATGGGTATTTTTCAAAGAAAGCATACAGATGGCCAATGAGTTCAAAACAAAGGTGCTCAGTATCACTGGTCATCAGGGAAATGCAAATCAAAACCACAATGAGCTTATCACCCAACACCTGGTAGGATGCTACTATCAAAACAAACAA